TTCCTATTTCTACGTAAGTCTAAACGTTCTAGTACGTTCCATGCTACGTATGAAAATAGAAATATACGCATTGAAATTATTTAATCGATAAGTGAAAAATAATACGTAAATTACGCGGTAAAATCTGTCGAGTCTGAGAGAACGAGCCCACGCCAAAGAATATATTATTCGCGCGAACAACGGCGCGTAAATAACTTAAAAATTCCAACGCGCTCCGTAACGAGGCCCATCACGCAACTGGACAGAAGCGTTGTCTGACCATTATCGGGTCGTAACTACTGCGCGAGCTTCGTTGCCTCGTCTGATACGATCGGTCCGTAACCGCTGACAATGGCCCGGCCTGTATTCGCTGTTCTTTTCACAGTTGCATCGATGTAGGTCATGGTAACATCATATTCAGAATTTTTTACAGCGCCACCAGTGAATTGCTACCAGCGTTTCATTCCTCCGGTCGGTTTCTTTCTTCTCTCTTTTTCTATCATGCAGCCCTCGTCTGTCCTGCTCCTCGCGGTTTCACCCTCGCCGCCGTAATTCTCCGCGGTATTATAAAATCCTATCGCGGCGTGTACATCCGTCGACCACAAAGGAGCCATTGAACGTCTTATCGCGATGAAACGTTCGGATATGAATATGCAATATTCTTGGGACCTGTACACGTGCACGTGGGCTCAGAGCGCTGGGCGGTGCGGCGCAACGATTTCTGGAGAACTTGCACACGGTCGCGGTTACCTCTCGAATTCGACAATGGACCCTTTGTAGCCGCAGTTTGGCGTACCTCCATTCTTTGCCCGGCGGCGTAATCAGGCGAACCAATCCACGGAATTTGGGTTAAAGCATTTTTGAGACGGTGAATGGATTGACAGGGATTCCTCGAAACTTAATTTCGGCCAGGATCCGCGACTACGTCGGCCATTGTGAACCGGTCCGGCCATACGCGGGATAGCGGCATAGAAAATTATTCGCATTTCGCGGAGGCATTGTTCGCAGAAATTGATCCCTTTGAAGTACGAGTCGAGAGTCTAACGTATTGTTCGTCGCGGCCTCTTATGAAAAATATGACTATCCGCGATGAGGAAGATTATTTGCATTTCGTACGATCTCATTGTTTCCGGGAATTTAATCCTACTCGCATTGAGATGCAGATTTTCGATGCAATTTCACTTGTTAGTTTCGCACGAAACTTCAAAAATGTAAGTGTGAAGATCATTGTAGCCTGATTTAACGCCTTTGGATCTTTGTCTCTGTTGGTGGTTCTTTTTCGAGCCAGGTAACACTTATTTTTCATTCATTCTTTTCCCCCTATTTTTTAAAATATTAATGTCTCTGGTATTCATTATGCACTCTGTGATTGGTTATATTTCATTGATATTTTAAGTACAAGGGTCTAATAAAATATGTATCCTTCTAATAACACTCAAAAATATTTAGACCAAAATTACGATATTGTGTCTTCTAACAAGTTAATAAAACAAACATTCTACATTATTATTGGTTAAAAGGCTAAATATAGAAGTAATGCAAAATGTAAGATATAGGTCTAACAAGACTATTTTAACAATAGCCATGCGAATGTTAAAATAGGTTAGTACAAAACTGACCTTAATAGGTTTTTTTCATGTCAAATTGTTTTATTGTTGAATAGTTTTGTATTCGTCGAGAGGAATAAATTTGCAGAAAAAATCATGAGGAACTTAATAACTTCCTTGGAAAATGAGTTTAATTTTGCACCAAGTTGTTAACAGATCTCCGCCAAGTCAGAAGTGTAGAATTATGATGTAAATAAAATATATGAAGACTGAAAGAAAGTTGTAGAATAATAACGTCGTTTCGTTTACAAATTATTTAACCTTTAACAGTCAACAAGTTTCTTGTAATGCAGTAAAATGTCAACTATCAGAACCTCAATTATCGAAACATAAGTAAAACAGATAAACAGATATTTCGAAATCTGGATTTCCGTCGTAAATAATGAATATAAATATATAATTAAAATTACAAATTTCACTTACACTATGAATAGTAAAATAAAAAGAATGATGTTGGATGAATCGAAAATATTAAAATTTGGTAAAAAGACAAGTGAACGAAGTAAAGTGTAAAATTAGTAAAGACAGACCAATTAGACCAAATAACGCGAAAATAGATATTACACAAAAATGAGTGAAAGTTAAAAAAGAAATACATATCTTTTAAATATTCAGTTTAAAGGAACGAAGAAACTCAATTAAAATAAAAAATTATTAATATACCTTTCATATTACGTTTACTATATGTTCTTTCGTAGAATATCGTATGAAAAGTTACTTAAACATTTGTGTAATTCTTTTGAGGAAACAGTCGTTAGTTATGAAGCTTCATTCGGTCAAATTTAACATTCAAAATAATAGAAAAGGTATAATGGATAACATTTTTAATATTTATGAACCATACATTACATAGGTACTTCAAATCCATTGTGTTTACAGTCATATAGTACAAGAATATAAGGATATATGTATTCTATTGCAGATAAAATAGAGACGAGATATTAGTTGAAATTTTATTACTTTTCCATTATCGTTAATTGTCTCCGACGTTATATTACAGGCAATATTAACTTCATGAACAAAGCATTGTATCGTGTTTCAAACTATCGAAATTGCTTTTATATTCTCCACCCAGCTCCTGAAAAATACCTTTGTACATTAATAAAGCTACAAGCTTGAGATGAAAGTTGTGCAAAATTGCAAATGAATTACTCCAGGAATTATAATTATAAAATGACTGACGTAATTTATTGATCATATATTTCATTCAATTAAATTACACTATAATTCGTTATTCCAATTGAAGTGTAATTACAAACAGAATGTAATTAATTTACATTAATTATAAATTGCAATTACGAATTAATAGATCAGAACTTTAAACAGAAAGTAATTATTATGATGGTTATTATTTACAAATTTATAATATCATAATAGAAGTAAAATCTGCATTATACTTTTTGTAAGTGCAGTGTAATTAAATTGTGTAATTAAAATACAATGTAATTGGATTGACACAACTCTGATTCGAATATCTATAATAGATTTTTGTTTTGAATCGTTTGATTTTGAAATTAAATATTTTATCAAATTATTATATAAATATGAAGAATATAAAAATTATATTCAATTGTGTATAAAAGAACACTATTGTGAATTTGGCAAATATTGAAAAATATGAATGTAGTTTTATTAATTGCAATAAAATTCCATTGCAGGAATCGCCAACAGGCACGTAATTAATGATCTTTAATTTTTTGTGCCTTGGAAGTGGTCTTTTTCAAAGCAATCAAACAAAACAATTATTATTTAGTATAACTTTAATAAATATAAATATAATATAATATTTAGGGTAAAAGTCAGACGATTGTAAAACCTACTTAAACAATTTTAAGTTACAAATTTTTGATCGACATTTTAAACTTATATTGTCATTATTAAAATAGTTGTCAGTAAAATATTAATCATAACCGACCTGATTGAAACGACCAATAATTACACACAATTGAAACCAAGAATTGAATTTTCCTAAGCGTTGAAACCATTGATTTCCTTTAAGGGCTGATCCATTACCTACTCAACAAAGGATCGACGAATAAAAGATGAAGGGAAGAAAACCCAACCATAATGAAAAATGAGAAGCACGAAAATATAAAATATTAAAAAATATTCCAATTATAAGAAATATCTCAACGATAGAGTTACAAAAATTGTTGGATCTGGTATTTGAACCTAGTTCTACTAAAAGTGAATTGTTACAACTTGATACTCCCATTCACTCTGCCATAGCGTTGTCATAATTACGAATTATGGTTTATAGTACTATGGATCTTTAGATGAGATCGTGTTTGAATTCTTTTCCATAAACATACTCAAGCAAATCCATAGCCAATACTTTAATAAAAATATAATGAAAGTTAAAAAAATGTTCTTTTAAACGCATCACGCATTGAAAGGTCTCGACTCAAAAATAAAGATTTCAAGTTGGTCCTGACTTCTTTCATGTGAAAATAGAAATATATTCTTTGAGAAAAGATGTATTTTTTTTAATCGATAATAAATATAATTAATATTATTCAAAATATTGTTTTTTTGCTTAAGTTCAAAAACTTATAAGACATACAATATTACTTTGATAAATGAACGAATTTTGGTACCTCCAGAATTCATCAACCATGTGTTCTTGCATCTATCAAGGTTTTATTGTACACGCAAGTGTCAAATAATGGTTTTTAACTATAAAAGGATATATTTTATTTAAATCAATATTAGAAAATCAATAAAAATATATGTAATATACTGTTGCATTAAATACTACTAATTCATTAATGAATTTAAAAAAATTATAGTATGTTATTATAGAAACATTACTTTTTTCTGTAGTTTAAAGTACCACTTCGTGTTCCTATGGATGCTAGACTTTGAGTACTTCCAAAATAATTTGTTTTATCTTTGTTCTACAAAGACAACAACATTTACATTATCGATTTCTTTTTACTTTTGTTTATTTTCTTTTTTGATGACAACGTTGACAATAAAACTATTCTAATATAACTATGTTTTTTTCTTTTATGTTAATATTGAAGAGCCAATCTTTTTCTTATTTTAAAATTGTCACTATAATTGTATTCAGCTTGGACGTATATATTGATCCTTTTGCAATGCGTTTTAAGCCCCAAAATCCCATTATTTCTATGTTCACTCGTTCAAATGTTGCATTATATGTATCTTTAATGAGAATGAATCTTGTTGCTTTATTTTTTTGTTAGAGATTTGTAGAATTTTTTAGTCAGTAGAGCACAAGTTAGTAATAATTCATAGTTTCAAGCCCGATTTCAAGCCGTAGTATCGAAAGATTTACACTTTTGTATCTTAATTTCTTTGATCTTAACACTCCTTTTGTATCTTTCACTTAATGATTATAGACCGGGAACGTTCGAACAGAAAATAATTGAAAACTTCTTTTTGTTCCAGCGACCACTCGATAAGCAATCGCGGGGTCATCCGACGCACTGCGAGTATGGAGAAGTGACGAGGCCCTTATGACGACGCGAGGAAACAGCCGAGAGTGCTCTGGCCCCGTCGCAGTCCGACTTTTAGGCCCCGCCCACTCAGTCCCAATTTCCATGTTACTCGGTCGCGCAGATCCAACCATTTTCCATCTCGAATCCATCGCACCTTGTACGTCACACCTGATTCTGCTCCTTTCGCCCCAGCACCCTATACACGTACACAAACAAACATACACATGTACAAACTGACACGTGCAAGGAGCAGAATATGTCAGCAGGTACAAAAACAGGGAACGATCCTTCGGGTTAGAAACTCTTTCCGACTACGAACAGTGTACAGTGAATCCTCGTCCCGCGTCAGTTTTTAGATTCATGGTTTGCGTACAGGCCTGTGCACTTTTTAAGTAACGTTACTCGAAATACTGTTCCAAACAACGGGTTTTATTTCATTCTTGAGGAACAGTTATGTTATTTCGTTTCATAACATAATTTTACACCTGATGGTAACACGCGTATACATTACGCCTTGACGTCAATAATTTTATTCCTGCATCTTTGTTACGTATTCATGTATATCTATATAACTATGCAATTATTTTCTCTGATTTATTTGTCTAATATTGCTTCAACAGAGATATCTATTTGAATATAAGCGTTTAAAGAAAAGTATTGCAAATAATAAATCTATATTTGAAATAATGTAATAAGAAGATACTTTTGCAAATAAACACCATGATATTACGATATTTGCATTGTTAAAATGATGATATGATAATGATTTAAGGAAAAATGAAATTAGTGTTATAATAACATTGTAAATGTAATTAAGTTGTTCTGTATAAAATCATTTATATAGTGCATTATTTTGCATATTCAACTATTTATAATTTCGAAAACACAATGATTTATATAAATGATATAATACGGTGTCTAAACAGTTTTCATACAAACATCTTCTCTACAACTAAATATAAGATGAAAATGTTGTATGGTTGAAAGAGTATTAACATTCTATTAGGAAAACGATGAATGAGTTTTTAGATAAGAAAATTAATATTTACTCCTTATCAAAGTTTATTTTAAGCAACCGAAATAAGAAGAAAATTTGCAACGATATATCGAACTGTTTGAGATAATAGCAACTTCATTGTCTAAAATAATTTCAAATATTACGATGCTTCATTCTTATTTAAAATAAAATGTGCTCAGGTCTGCTAGTATGTGTTTTCTGTGTGTTTAAATATTTACAAATTAAATAAGGTCGTCCTTTCTCTGATGTTTCTTTTCATATAATGGTCTCTTTAATACTCTTCATATAGAGTACTAAACTTTAATGAACTTCTAAAAATGAGATTGCAAAGGATACGTCGTACCTGAATTAATCATATAATTTGAGGACTCACTGTACACCAAACGCGAAGAACGTGAGTTCGTAAAATTTAGCCTCGTCGAAGCTACCACCTTCCTTGATTCGTTATTCGATTGCTCTGCGAGATGTTGCGCGGGTGTACTTAATTAAAATTTGATTTGCAGCGAACCTTATAGTTTCTCTCTCCTTTAGCGGGTTTTAAATCGAATCGTTTTCTCAGACAACAATTGCGACCAACGCGAGCAGCGTAATTAACGTTGCGCGCAATTAAGATCGAACGATAAAGATCGAAGACAGAAATAAACAGGGATTTCGTGCACAGCGAGTTCAGCGGTTGCGTCTCAGGAATATGATCGTCGACATTAATGAAAACCAAAAACCCGTGATTCTAACGGACTTCTGAAGTGTCTTAACATTTAATAAAAACGGAATCGTTCTTCCTTCTTTTCAAACTCGAACTCCTAAGCTGTCTTGGATCTAAACAGATCGCGAATGGATTATAAAATGTCTTAAGTTTGTTTAATTTATTGAAACCAATGCCTGAAAATAGACTTAAGTGTAAGCACTTTGCAAACATTTTTTTTTTTTTAATACGTGACTCTTATTTTGAACGAATCAAAAACTAGCCTGAGTCGATTGGTTACTACAAAGCAACTGGCATTTCTTAATCCTCCTCGCACCGTGTAAATCAAACAGCCGTACAGGGTTAAATTTAAATAACAAGGAGACAAAGGGCACAAGTGTTATTTTCGTAAGAAAGAAAAAATTAAAAGAGAATAAAATGTTAATGCACAGCATCTCTGTATTTATAATAAATTTTGAAAGTTAGTAAACTTGCACCCTTTGTCTTTCGAATAAATCAAATTAAAAAAAAATAAATCACCTCTCATTGCCGATATTCCTTGAAAAATCAAAGCGGTATCGCAGATTTTACAACAGTTATCGTTTTAGATGATGAAAATACGACCCCCATAAATTAAACGAGCGCCTATCGAATATTCTCTAAAGCCTGTCTCAGATTTCCACGCCCAAAAACGGACCTAAACGGGCAACTGTTCGCGAACCGTCGCAGCTCACTGTATATTTTATTCGCGAAAATATTTTACGAACATCACCGAAGCTGCCCGAAATCGCAGCCTGAACGGTTCGCCATAAATTGTCGAGGGTCCCTCGCGGAACAGCCGTTTCGAGCGCCATTTTACAAGCGTGCTTCGCGTGGCGTTCGAACTCTGTGTGCATAGCCTAACCGACATCGTCTACGAGCAGAGGCATGCTCATGCTGCACGAATCAATGCCGTCACGAGAACGTCCAGCCACCAGCAATTACGTTTGATGTCTCAAAGCAGCCGGATGTCACGCGGTAATCGAGTGCCGTTGTTGTTCGTGGCGTTTACAAGGCAAGCACACTTCGCGTAGGAAATGTAAACGGCGATCGAAACGATGTAACTTCGTCGACGGAAGTCTTTGCGGATTGATCGTTCGTCCACGTCGAGCAAAAAGAGACCCGAAGGCAACGGTTTTTCACCAATAACTTTTCTCTTCTTCGGTAACAAGTAAATTAACTGACGACGAAATCGATCGTGTCCAAACAATTCACCGATTTCTCCCGATCGAGGAAAGAGTCGAGGAAAAATTCATCTTGATCGAGAAAATAGGCGATACTTCGGAATTTATTTGACGATTATTTTATTGATCATTTTACAAGCAATTATTCACGATCGAAGAATTCGTCGTTCGGAGGAGAAAATGGCTTAGTAATGGAGAAACAATTTTCCTCGATCGAGGAAATTTTCTGAATATTTCTTTTCGATCGAAGAGTTACAGAGCCGTTAAATATTGTAATCTTTCATTGTACGAAATTAGATTAGTATTTTGAAACTAACTTTTCTCGATCGAGGAAACAGATAGTAATTTAGGGAAATATTTCTTGATTTTGTAAGCAGATCATTACACGACGATAATGATTTAGTATTTTACGAATTATTTTTTTCGATCGAGGAAACAATCGTTTGAAAATAACTTGGACTTATCAAGTCATTTATTTGATGACTATTTATCAATATAGAATTTAACTATTTGTTTGCATAAACGGTCGCTTCGAGGTGACTTTGTCTAAGTGTAGAAAAATTGTTCTTGATTGGAAAAGTAGGTAATTTAAAGATTATATTGGTTTAGAATTGTGTAAAAGAGTAAAGTAATTCAAAAAAATATTTTTTAATTAAGAAAGCAAATTACTATATGACGAAAATGATTTACTGCTTCGTAAATAATTTTTCTTAAGCAAAGGAATAATTTTCTGAAGACGATTATGGCTCAGGTATTTTATAAATATCTATATTGATCGAGGAAGTAGATGACAGGTACTTATTTAGTGACTATTTCTCGGCCTAACATTTTGGTAAAACTATTGTTCTTCATCTAGGAAATAAATTCTCAGATATAGGTTTGGCCCAATAATTCAGAAAAATATTTCTTGATTCAGAAAACAGATTCTTAAGAGACAATATTGATTTACTTTCGTTCCAGGAAGCAAATGTTTAAAAACAGGTTTGACTTAATAATTCAGAAAATGTTTTTGACACAAAAGCATGTTATTAAGTGATGACAATGATTTAGTGCATTGCAAATAATTTTTCTTAAAGTAGGAAAAAGTAACAATCGTTTAAAATACCACACTGTTCTGGTAATTGAAGAAAAATGTTTGTGGATTAAGAATGCAAATATCTTCATAACGATGTTGACCTAATATTAAGCGAATAATTTTTTCGATCAAAAATCTGTGTTTTGGAAGAGAAAATGACCTAGTAATTGCAAAATAACTGCTCTCGATCGAGGAAGCATCAATTTTGCAGCGATGTTGGTGTAGCATTTTCTAAATATTTCCTTTAGAAAAAGATACCAGAAGAATAAAATGATCTTCTATTACACGAAATTTGTTTAGCATTCTCTAACTAATTTTTTTAGCTCGTGAAAACAGTCTAATCCAAGATGGTTTTGGTTTATAGACTAAGTCAAATGTTTTTTCGAAGAGAAAACACATTAATAGGTGATCACGAGTTACTATTCTACGGATAATTGTTCTCGATCTAGAAAACGATCGTTTAAAAACTATTTTGACCTAGTAATTTAAAAAAAATGAATATTGATCTTGGTGACGATAAAACGAAACGATTGTTTGCAAAATATAAACGACCTAGTAACTTAAAATCAATTTCCTTCGATCGAGGAAGCAGCCATTTTGTAACGATTCTGGCCCAACATTTAACACATTATTTTTCATGTTCAAAGAAAAAGTCACCTCGAAACGAGTGTACCCTACTAAGTTAAAAATAATTTTTCTCAATTGAGGCAGCGTGTGACTGAAAATATTAAGTTACCATTTTGTAAATGCTTGTTACCCATCGAGGAAACGGGTGTTCACAGCTTCAACTGTAATTATAAAAAAATCCTTCTTAATTGCAAAAGCATGCTACTAGACAACAACGACTCACTATTTTACGATAAATTTTTTCAATTGAGAAAACAATTATCTAAAGCCGATCTTGACCTAACAATTTAAGAGAAATGTTCGCCGATTGAAAAAGTTGGTGCCTAGTGACGATATCGATTTGACGTTTCGAGAATGATTTTTCTCGACCGAAGAAACGGTAAAAGAAAATGGCCTAGTAAACGAGGAACAATTTTTCTCGATCGAGGAAACAGCCATTTTGTGGTGATTTTGATCCAACGTTTTGCAAATAATTTTTACCGACCGTGGATATTAATAATTTGCGGACATCTTTGGCCTACCATTTTGCGAATATTTCTTTCGATCGAAGACGCGCCATG